ATCGCGCTTACACGTATCCCCGCGAGGTATTCGCTTGTTTCTGGAAAAATGAGAGCCTAATTCCTTGCGCCGTAAACAATTACCCAATCATCTAATCACTCCGGGATCCGTGAGCAATCACTCCCGAGCATGCAAGGTGTTATCACACATCAGACATCACAACGACATCAGAATAACAACGGACCAAAAGTGATAAGCACTAATGAAAGCAATAGTGACGATTATGCAAAAAGTCTCTACTATGCTTATGGGTGTATCAGAATGGTAAGCAAAGGCAAGGACCAGGCAAAAGAAGACAGACATAACATTCATTCGTCCATTCATTCGACAAAACACACACACGATAAACAAGATCAAGATCAATTGCAAAAACGAGTGTGGGCTGAAACCGAGACAAGGATTCCGCAAACAAAAGAAAACGGGCGAGTCGCCATGAGCCGAGACCAACACTTATATACAAAAGCAAAGAGGGAGACAAGACAAAGAAAATTGCAAATCCACGTCCATCAACCTCAGCTCTCTCTTCCTCTCTCTCTCTCCCCGATGCGGACAATCCGTCGTCACGCACCATCCCACGAAGTCGTCACCCCGTTTAGTCCTCCTGCACCCGTCAGGTTCGCCCGCGCGCTACAGTCCGTTGTAGCCCCATGCGTCAACCCCGCGCATTTGGCACCAGCTCGTCGGGTCGCCCGACTCCCACTTCAACTCACCTCTTACTTCGCTCGTGAGCCGACCCTCACTGATCGCGCTACTCCGAGCTTCCAACAGCTGGTTAAGAGAGCTATCTAATCGCGCAATTGGAATTTATAGCGTGCATGCATGCACGAAGAACACGAAATTGCAAGGACTTAGAAAGGAGATTAGGAGAGGGAGCGCCTACGTTCTGCATGGCCAGACCGCGGCGTGGGGGACGTAGCCACTCTCCACGCATCGATCCGAATATGCAGGGCGCGGGCTAACGAGGCAGAGCAAAAGGGGAAGAGAGAGCGGGAAAGACGAAGCTCAAGAAGAAAGATACAGTTACAATGGTGCCCACTCGAAATTACAATTACTTGCAAGATTAAGGGCGTCGACTAATCAGAGCTCCGTTGCAGCCGCAAAAAGACGCGCGCAAGAAAAACATCGTGCGGCAAACGAAATCCCGAATTCCTAAATTCCTAAATTCCTAAATTCCTATCTAATGCGAAAATGCAAAAGTCACAAATTTTGGAAAGTTCCGAGAGCCATCAAGGCTCGACAAGATTTGAAAAAAAAATTCAAAAAGAACGAAGCAAAATTCTTGCGCAACCTCCGCGCTTAAAACCCGACAATAGAACAAGAAAGAAGCGACGTCAAACATTATTATTTGCGCCTTTGTTGGCGTGACAGCCACTCAATCGACCATCTCGGGACTTGCCCGGCCCTGATCCCAACCATCCGAAAAAAAATGACGCAAAAAGGCAAAGAAGCGAGGACATCGATGCGATTTCCCTTTGATCCCGATCTCCCGTAATTAGCCCTACCTTCCCATCTTAGGACCCCTCATTGTCATCGCGCAGAAAATCGCAAGGAACAGAAATTGTTCGCCACAGCGTCCTTGCTGAGGGCCGAGATAGCAGATTTGTACCGGAGGGCCGCCAGTATTACACTATTGATCACTAATGCCCTTCCGATGAGGGAGGTCTGGCGGTCCTTCCAGTGGGCTAGTTTCTCTAGCGCGGGTTTCAGGATCCACTCATCATTCGATGCATGCTTACCCAGAGCCATCAACATAGTTCCCAACACTCTGACCGGGGCCGTTTCCGGGAGCCATTTGACCTGCGGGAGCTCGGGGGGGTGCGTCCCTTGGTGGTGGATCCACCATCCCAGGGTTTTGTTTCCCCAATTGACAGTCATATCTGATACTGTTGTAAACCGGTTGAATAATCGCATGATCTCTTCCATGTTTGCTGCGGTTGCATCAACCATGAGTGTCAGGTCGTCTGCAAACATCGAACAGATCGGGATTGCTTCTTCCGGTATGGCCGAGATCTACAGTTTCCTGAGGTCTTTGTTGGTGCGGAGGTTTCCTGCCAACGCGTCCATTACGATAATAAACAGGAAGGGCGCCAAAGGGTCTCCTTGGCGAACCAACCATTGCAGCGGAAAGGCCGACGCTATCCTTCCATTGACTTGGACACACGTGCTTGCATTGTGGTGAAGTATTTCAGTCCAGCGTCGGAAGACTGGCCCTATGTTCATTTTTTCCATACATCTGTCTGGGAAGAGCCAGTCCATGTGGTCGTAAGCTTTTTCAAAGTCTATAAGCTTTTTCAAAGTCTATAAAGACGACTGCCGCATGTTGTTTGTCCTGTCTTGTCAGTTTAAGTAGTTCATTAACTAATAGTATGTTATCTTGTATCCTTCGCCCTTTTATGAACCCGGTTTGTGTCGGATGGATAATATCCTCCACGACCGGGAGTAGTCGATTTGCCAGGGCCTTTGCCAGCATTTTGTAGACCACTGTGAGCAGGGTTTTTGGCCTGTAATTACGAATATCCATCTTGTCTCCCTTTTTGTGTAAGAAGGTGAGAACTCCCTGTCCCACCAACTCTCCCATTCTCCCTGTTTCCCACACCTGTTGATAGAACTCCATGAGGTCCGGGGCCATCTGAGTCCAAAAGGTCTCCCAGAATTCCTTTGGAAACCCATCTATGCCCGGCGTCTTCTCTTCTTCCATCTGCATCATCGCCGTCCATTATTTCGTCTTTGTACGGGCCGATCCAGATCTACTTTTTGCTGTCCAGTCCGGGTCTTCTCCAATGGTTCCAAGAATTCCTCTATTTCTTTCTCTCTAGCATTCCTCTCTTGCCGGGCACACCTCGAGGTGAACAGGTCTTGGTAAAAGGATCTTGCTATCTGTGTGCAGAGGGAGGGAGGGAGGGAGGAGCAATTTAAAGTCTCTCTCTCTCTCTCTCTCACTCTCTCTCTCTCTCTCTCTCTCAGAGTATAATGAGAGAAGGCAGGTACGGAGAGTGGTGAAGAGACCTGTGGAAGAAGAGGGAAGAGCAATTTGCGAATTTTATTCATTGAACTTCATTCCGTGTTATTATGTTTTGAGATGATTGCATGTTTTTGTCCCTCTTCTTCATACTGTCCTTTGGTTCATTGCTGTCTCAGTTTGTTTGTTACCATTGAGTTGAGGTTGGATGTGAGATGTGATGGTGAGTTGGGTTCATTGCACTTGAGTTTTGAATTTCGTTTGGACCTTCTTACTCTGGGTATGGTTGAGCTTGCTGTCGCAGATATGGCTTGAACATCTACTCCAAGAGAACAGCCGATTGGAATATATTTTGTACTTCCATGCCCCTTTCTGGAGTTCCAGAGTTTCTTCTAGGTTCATGTTCAGAATTCTTTCCCATTGGCTTGGTATGGTGACCGTCTGGTCCAGCTGTCTTCAGTCCCATCCTATATTCAAGTGTCCCAGTATATCCATTTACTGGGACCAGTCATTAAGTGGACCCTCTGTTTTGATGAACCAGCCTTGATTGTGGAGATCAAGTTGTAATTCTAAGATATCTCTCTGCAGGCCCTGTTGGGGGGCTGTGATCTCCATGTTTTTTTTTTTTTAACAGGGCCTTATGGTCCTGGCTCCTTCTATTCTGGGGAGCGTCAGTCCGGTTACTACTCCACCGGCAAGTCAAAATATACATTATATTGAAACTCTTTTTTTTTCTTTTTCTTGGAGCTCCCTTGTATTGGTGGGAAGCAGCACCTGCTGAGAACCGCATTGTTCTGTTTCTAAAACTCGCACTTTCCTAAGGGTGTAAACTACACAGGTCCCCCTGTTTAGGATTACGAGTTCTCTTTGAATTCCTTCTTTCATTTGGAGCACTGGATTGAGCTCTGAATTCACCCATGGTTAGTTTCGTGTTGAATCGGAATGCCTTAGCGGGTTGAAGTTCTTGCATTGGTACTCCCCCCCATTCGTCGGTGAGCATAAAGATTGAATTGGCACAGATATACTATCATGATATCACCGTTCACATTTGTGGTTTTTCCCATTGTTATTGGTGTCTGTGGTTTTGGGTGTGCTATGCAGGGCATTGACTACCTGAAGTATGATAACTGCTTTACAGACCTCTCACAGCCACAGTTGAGGTAAGAGTGTCCCTGTCAGAAGGAATTGATGGAAATGACATCATGTAGCCTGGGGAGTGTAACCCATGCTCAAGACTAACCTTTTTCTAACACTGAAGCACTTGCTCTCTCTCTCTCTCTCTCTCTCTCTCTCTCTCTCTCTCTCTCTCTCTCTCTCTCTCTCTCTCTCTCTCTCTCTCTCTC